GAAAACCCCCAAGGTAGGAGAGAGCACCACCTCCCTTGGGAGCCCATTCCAGAGCCTGGCAGCCCTAACTGTAAAGTAATGTCTCCTGATGTCCAGCCTGAACCTTCTCTCTAACAATTTGTGGCCATTCGTCCTAGTAACCCTGGGTGGTGCCCAGGGCAACAGAGCCTCCCCTGATTCCCACTGGTCCCTCCTGGTGAGTTTGTAAATGGCCACCAGATCCCCTCCCAGCCTTCTCTTGTGGAAGCTGAATACATTCAGGCCCTTTAGCCTCTCTTTGTAGGGCCTGCCCCGCTGCCCCTTGACCATGCGAGTGGCCCTCCTCTGGACCCTCTCAATGTCCCTCTTGAAGTGCAGCACCCAGAACTGGACGCAGTACTCCCACTGTGGCCTAACCAAAGCCACATAGAGGGGAAGGATCACCTCCCTGGACCTGCTTGTGATACATGTGCAGATACACAACAAGGTGTGTGTGGTTAGCCTTACTGACCGCTTCCTCGCATTGGCGACTCATTTTCATCCCGGAGTCAACAATGACTCCAAGATCCCTTTCTGCCACCGTATTGACAAGAAAGGTGTTCCCCAGCCTATAGGTGTGTTGCTGGTTCCTTCTCCCTAGATGTAGTACCTTGCAGTCTGTGTTGAATTCCATCCTATTCTTATCCACCCACCTCTAGATCTAGATCCCCCCACCTCTGTCCATCCTATTCTTATCCACCCACCTCTGTCTAGATCTAGCTGGATTCTGTCCCTCCCCTCCAGCATGCCCACCTCGCCCCACAACTTGGTGTCATCAGTGAATTTGGACGTCATGCTTTCCACACCCACATCCAGATCGCTGATAAAGATGCTGAACAGTACAGGCCCCAGGACAGAGCCCTGGGGGACTCCACTGCCCACATCCCTCCAGGTCAAAAACAACCCATCCACCACCACTCTCTGGGTGCGACCATCTAGTCAATTTGCCACCCATCTGACTGTGTAGGCATCAATGCCACAGTCACCAACTTTTTTTAAGAGAATGTGGTGGGAAACCATGTCAAAGACCTTCTTAAAGTCCAGGAAGATGACATCCACCCCGACACCCTCGTCCAGGGACTTTGTGACCTGATCATATAAAGAAACCAGGTTAGTCAGGCAGGATCTGCCCTCAGTGAACCCATGTTGGTTGCCCCTGAGCATTACCTCCCCTGCTAGCCCTTGGAGATGTGCTCCTTGATAATTTTCTCAAAGGTCTTCCCAAGGACCGAGGTACGACTGACTGGCCTATAATTGCCAGAGTCCTCTTTCTCCCCTTCTTGTAAATGGGGACCACATTGGCCCTTTTCTAGTCCTCTGGTACCTGGCTGGAGCCCCACGAGCACTCATAAAGCCATGCCAGGGGCCCTGCTATGACCCCTGCCAATTCCCTCAGCACCCTGGGGTGAAGAGCATCTGGACCTACTGATTTAAACACGTCCAGCCACTCCAAAAGTTCCCTAACTAGGTATTCCCTGACCCTAGGCATGGCGGTGCCTCCCTTGGGTCCGTCTGCAATTCTAGTGTGGGAAATGTCCCGGTCCCTGTTCAGGATTAGGGAGGCAAAGAATTCATTAAAGTGGTCAGCTTTTTGCTTTGCCGCAATCACCAGATTGCCAAGCCTATCCTGTAGGGGCCCCATGTTACCCGGTGCCTTCTTCTTACTTCCTATGTATTTGAAAAAGGACTTTTTATTATCCATAATTCTGGTCACTAGCCCTAGCTGCATCTCTGCCTTGGCCTTCCTAACAGCCTCCCTGCAGTCCCGAGCAACAGAGGTGTAATCCTCCTTGGTGACAGCCCCTTGCTTCCACTGTTTGTACGCCTCCTTTTTTGCCCTCAGGCATCCCTGGAAAGCTTTGCTGAGCCATGGGGGCTTCTTAGCACTTCTGCTCCCCTTGGTGCACATTGGGACTGATTCCCTTTGAGCTTGGAGGATCATCTCCTTGAGGAACAACCACCCGTCTTGGACTCCCATCTCATTGAAGCTCTGAGACCCCAATGCCTTTCCTACTAACTTTCTTAGCTTACAGAAGTTGGCCCTTCTGAAGTCTAGGACCTCTGCTTTGCTGCTTGTTTTTACTACCCTGTGCTGGATAGTAAATTCCAGCAGGTGTTGATCACTGTCACCCAGGTGGTCGAGTACTCGTAGACCCCTCACTAGGTCATCACCTGTGGCAAGTACCAAGTCCAGCAAGGCATTTCCCCTGGTGGGACCATGCACCTCCTAGGTTAGGTCTAGGTCCTGTATCCTGGCTAGGAACCTACCTGAGCAGTCGGAGCTGGCTGACTGCTCCTCCCAGTAGATGTCTGGGTAGTTTAGGTCACCCATGACAACCACATCCCTTGACTTTACAGCATTTGTGAGCTGATCTGAGAATTCCAGCTCCAGCTCATCCCCCTGGTGAGGCCGTCTGTAGTAGACACCAACTATCAAGTCCCTTTCCCCATCCCCCCCTTACATTCTTACCCAGAGCGCCTCATTTTGCCCGTCCTCTGACCCCATCCTGATCATCAACGACATGTATTGCTTTTTGATGTATAGTGCTACAGCCCAACCCCGCCCCTTTTCCCTGCTCTGTCTTGCCTGTACAACCTGTATCCCTCGATGTCCACTGCCCAGTCACAGGTAGAATCCCACCAGGTTTCCGTGAGCCCCACTAGGTCTGGGATTTTGCTAGCTAGCAGGAGGGCGAGTTCCTCCTGCTTATTTGTCATGCTTCAAGCATTTGTGTAGAGGCATTTGAGGCCTCCTGTAGGTACCCATGCTGTCCCCTTGTTCCTAAGTCTGCCCTGGTCCCTGTCACTTACCTGGGTACTACCTGTGTGCATCACCTGGCTTGACAACAAGTGTTCTCGTGTTCCTCTGCATCCCCGTCCCCAGCAAACCTAGTTTAAAACTTGCCATAGGAGATCAGCCAACCTGGAAGAAAAAACACACTTACCTTTTTGGGGAGAGATGAAGCCCATCCCACCCGAGCATGTCCTCTGTGTAGAAATGTGGGTCATGGTCCAAGAACCCAAGACCCACCTGGTAACACCAGCTCCAAAGCCACTGGTTGACCTTGTTGATGCATGTCTTGTGGCACTGTCCACATCTGCTCACTGGAAGGATAGAAGAAAAAACCACCTGTGCCCCTGTCTCCGTAAGCTTTGCCCCTAGAGCCCTGTAGTCTCTCATTATGTGATCCGGGTTGCCCCTGGCTCTGTCATTTGTTCCCACATGGATAAGGATCATGGGGTAATGATCGGAGGGTCAAATGAGGTCCAGGATCATCTCCGTGATATCCAGGCAGACAATGAACCTCATGTACCATGGGGTCAGAGTGACAGATGCGCCCCTCTGTTCCTCTCAGGATGGAATTGCTGATGACGAGAACCTGGCGTCTCTTACTCTTGGTGCTCCAGTAGCTCTTGGCCTGTGCTGTGCTTAGAGTGGCATCAGTTCCATTGTAGGCATCCTCTCCTACCTCCTCCTCCATGTCTGCCAGGGCCTTGTACCTGTTCCCCAGCTGTACCTGGGGAGCTGACACTAAGGTAGCACGTGTAGACCTGGCTCTGGAGGTGACTGTCTGCCGTACCTCTGCAGTGGGTCCCTCTTTGGTGGCTTCACCTCTAGGTTCTTGACCCTGCAGAGAATGAAAGGACCCATCAATTTCATCCTCGGCCACCCTAATCCCCCGCAGCCTGCTGACCTCAGCCTGGAGCTCCCTTGCCTGCTCCTCCAAGGCCTGAAGGTGGGCACATGTGGGACAGGCAAGGGAGCTCCTGCTGCCCCCTTCCCACCAGGCTGCTGAGGCCCCACCAGGCAGCCCCCACAGAAAGTGGGGGGAGAGTGGCTCCAGCCCCGCCGTGGCATCCATCTGGGTGGAGGCCATAGAGGAGCCCTGGGTGGGCAGTGCCATCCAGGCCAGGGCCCTGGCAGTCCGCCATGTACTCAGCATTATTGTAGAGCAAAGTGTCCTCCTTTCTCCTCTGGTGAAGTCTCTGACCTGGCTCCTTCTGTTTGGCTGCCTTGCATGAACACTGGTGCACCCTTACAGAGGGCATGTACTTCTGCCCACAAACTGGCCTCCAGCAACTGCCTGGAAACTGCTCCTGTTGGCAGTCCCTGTTTGCTGGCTCCCTGGTCACAGGAAGGTCATTCTCTTATATTGTAAATTTAATTAGACTATTCAGTGTGGACCAGAACCTCCAACAGGAGAGACTAGGAACACTCACCTAGGAATACCTTATAGCCTAATGGTTAGTCTACTGTCCTCAGAGGTAAAAGGTTAAGGCTCTGATGTACTCAGGCAGAAGAGGGAATTGAACCAAATCTCTTACATGCTGAGTGACTGTCCTAACTAGTGGGCTATTAGGTAAAAGATCACTTTCTCCTATGCCCATGGTTGGTAAGAAAGAAATGATTTAGGCATCTAATTCCAGGCTGTGGATTCATAGCTGTAAATCCAAAGTGGAGAGGCAACTCCCTACAGGCCAGAGCTCTTGGAGAGCTACAGCATAAGCTCCTCCCTTCTTGTCAGAGTTGCCTACTGCCTGGATTAAACAAAGTGGTGCGCTGTGTTTTGTTGATCCCCTTCTTAGGTACCTAGGGTGCATACATTATGTACTAAGTTAACTTAAAATAAGGCAACTTAAGTAGTCAACTTAAGCCACACTGGAGCATACACACATACAGCTCCTCCATTTAGTGGCATCTATCTTGTGAGCTAAGTTGACTCAAGTAATTTGATTCAACATAATACACCTCAGAGGTGCATTATCTTGTGCCGCATTTAAGTTAACTCTATATATGTGTGCACACTGTGACAATTGAGTTGACTTAAAAAAAGCTAAACTAGCTTAACTGTCAGAAAGTTAGTACGTGTGTATGCACTCCTAATTCCTAATGCCTTTGTATAGGTCCCCTTAAGCACCTATGTATATTAAGAAAGGTTCTCCCCATTTGTTCCTTATTTGATTTTCTTTTTGTATTGCAGGGGGAAAAGTCACGAGCTCTCAATCCACTTTACACATTTTCTCAACGTCCTCATCATCTGTAACGTTGCTCTTGGCACTGATGGTTCCTTCAACCTCATGGTGAAGACTGCAGAATATTTTTGTTGTCATTGTTTGTTTGCTTTAGCTTGAAGACACCAATGGATGGAGCTTTATGTCCTTGGAGAAGCTGGAACCCTAAGCTAATGCTTAAAGACCCATAGAAATACAAATACACATAGTGCACTTAGAGGAGTGTTGGAAAAAATGGTCAAATAATTCATCAGGTTTTTCTCTTCAGTTTTTGTAAAAGTCAAGTCCTCTGTTTGGCGAGGGGATCTTTACTGGCCCAACAAAATATGCAGATTGTATGTAATTAATTTTTGTAAGCAATTGCTATTTCCGCCAAATGTATCCTACTTTTTTAATATGTTTATCTTTGGTGACCCCGGTTGTGTACCATGAGTTGTTTAGACAGTGGTGTCTCGTACAGTACATCTGTTTAGTTTAAGAATTTTTTCTTTCTTTTTTTTTAAAAAGAAGAACGTTTGATAAAGACGTTAAGTCTAATGCTTTTCTTCCTTCCCCTCAGGCTGGCTGCTCATGTTGACAGGTCATTTAAGAGAGAAGAAAAATAGTTCAGTTGGTATATGGCCCACTGCAAAAGTAAAGGAAATATTTTATGTAAAATGTATGAATACATATTAAATGAGAAAAAAAATGTCAATCCGATACCTTGAAAGTACTCACAGAGAAAGAGCAAAATAAGCCATTTATTTTACTGCAAGGTAAACTGAAAATGATTAAACAAACTTAGAAGACAACAAGTGCTATTGTTTTTCATCAAACAACAAAAGAAGCAGATGTTTATTTTTAATAGTAAAAGTTAATCTTCATTTATTAACAATGCATCTGGCAATGAAACCACCTTAGGCATTTAATCATAACATATATTGGTTGTTAATGAACAACTAAAAAGAATACAAGGAGATAAATATGCTTTTTTTCTGACCAGCTGTCAGTCTTAGATCTTATTTTTTGAAATCCATTTTTGTATGGTACTGTACTTTCTATATTTGGTAAATAGGCTAAATGATATACAGATGCATATTATGGCAGGAACATATTTGATGGAATATAGTCATTCAATCATACAGAGTTCAGTAAGGGTACATTTTGAAGACTGTTACATCCCAAACAACATTTGGATAAATACTACTGAGCATCATTCCAGTTTGTTCAGTTACTAGCTGATCAGATAGAGAGTTGCCTATAAGGACTGTGCTGTCAGCTTTAGTCCGAGACAACTTTCTACTGTACCAATCACTTTCCATTCTGTAGTCAACTGGGGAGAGTCACCATGGTAGGTCTAAAGGCTTTCCCTCATAGTGGCACCTAAGTTAAAATGAGCCTGGTGCATATGGGGGCATGGAGGGGTGTGTGCATGTGTGTGAGTATAGTGTGTACGATATATAGGGAAGGGGACTCTACTAACATATATGTAGAGAATGTGCCCAGAAAGAACATTACCTTATTGGGGAGAACAAATGTATTGTGCTCAGTCAGTTTACCAGGAAAATCTTGGTAGCAGAGATTTTCTAGATGAGTCAGTGCTGGGTTCTCTGTACTATGTTTGCTTCCTAACACAGTCCAGATATGCCATTTCTTAGCAACTTTAAAAGTAATACCTAGGAAAGTATCATAACAGATCAGGTGTTCAAACCATATGCAAATCTGGATGAAGAATGGGTTTTTATAACATTTTCCAAAAATATTTTTTTCCAAAGCAGTTTGAATTATATTCTTTGTAACCCGCTGAGAATTTTAAAGAATGTATGCAGCTCATTCCCAAAAACCAGATTTGAAATAGTCACAAATGTTGCTAGAAGAACAATGATAAGATGGTTAGCTGAGCACTCAATGTTGTGAGATAAAAGGCAGAAAAGGACTTTGTAGAACCACTTTGAAATAGCAGTTTATGGTAAAAGAAAGGGAAGGGGAATAGAATGCATGCAATGCAAATTGGCTTCATTGCCATTGCTGATAGAGCAAGTTGAAACAAAGCAACTGCCTGCTATGGCTTGCAAAACAGAAGCATTTCCATTGAGAGAGAGCTTGCATGAGCAAAGTCATTTTTAAGGGAAAAAAAATCAGCAAGAACACAGTGATGAACCAGAAGGCAAAATGTCCGTTTTTTAAAATTAGTTAAGTGTAATTCCCTCTACCTATCTTTTTAGGGAATTGCTTGCCAATGCAGTTCCATCAGGTGTATTCAAAAAGGTTTCAGTCAGGTATTCTGGTCAAACAGTTTTCTGAATATAGTAAATGGCTATGCTTGATTTAAAAAAAGTATAAAATTCTGACAGAGATAAAAAGATATAGCTGATTCTAGTTATATCTAGATCTATAGTATCAAGATATAGGTAGAAATATGGAACACACCTTCAAATTATATAGTTGTATTGCAAGAAACAAAGGGGGTATGTTTTATATTCAACATGAACAGAATCTGTATTTTGCATCTTAAATATATTAATAAACATGTTTTAAATGTTTAAGTACCTATGTATTACATATTTGTTACTTCGTAGAAGACAATGTTTCCTTATCATGACACGTTATTTTTAGGTGCAATAGCTCTTTCCTATTCTGTGGATGAGATTGTAACAGTGCAGTCTAATGTCACTGAAGAGACTGTATTTTTGTATGATGTCACAAGAGCTGTTTGGGGAATAATATAATCAGAAATAAACCTTGTTTGCAGACCAAAACAAAGGTACTGTTGCAGCCCATCTCAAAATGTTAGATATATTGTATACAATCTGTATATATACTATATATAATATATATTATGTGGAAGACACAGTAATATAATAGTTTCTGTGTACTGTTCTTGTAACATTAGATCTTTTTAATAAATAATTCTCTTTTTATTGACTTTTATCTTATGTCCTGTCAGCTGCTGAATTATACTTATTCAGGATAGAGTGCCACTAATATTTTATATTCTGACAGGCACAATCAATGACTTCACATGTTGTTTTCAAGGAGAAAATATCAATTAACAGTGCTATATCTGGGCCACCTGACCAGCCAAATCAAAGGATTTCAAGCATATGCTGATATATCCTTGGCATTTGTGACTTATATTTAGATAAGGTAAAACTGCATCAAAGACCAGAACAAGAAATGTGACAGCTGTACCTAACAACATTACTAAAAGAATTTGCACTGAAAATAAGATGCTGAAATGCATCTTTCTCTTTTTTCGTAGTCACAAAAAGGAGATGTGTTATAAGGAAGCCACCAAATGAGATTCCAAGCATATTGAAGCATTAAATATTTTTTGGACCTCTGACATGTTCTGCTGGCTTTGAGGTGTCACCAGTGCCCCTTAGGCATTCAGGCACAGAGGTATCTCTTGATTTTCTTGTGTTATACTGAAAATCTCACTTAGTTTGTCTCATATTTAAGATAGTCTGTATAAGAAAAATCATTTTTTGAAAATATATTCATCATTTCCAAACAAAGAATATAATCATGAAAGATCTCAAGTGTACAATTATAGCCTATCTTGTACATCTTGATAATTTGATATAGATTTTTAATAACCTTCAATCCTTGCTTTATGAAATACATATTGATAAGGGTACATGACTTTGAAACATAATAAGTCAAAAAACCCATTCTGGAAATAAAAAGAGCTTGCCACAGACACATTTGAACTATTGCTTAAATAGCATATTATATCAGGACCTCCATTAAATTAGTTATGAATGTCACAGAAAGCTGTAATGACCTGTTTTTGCTGACATGGAGAAGAGCACATATTGAAAATCCATATCTTAGCAGAACTTCTATCAAACTGTAATCCACTCTCACCCTTTTATGACCATCACTGTAGCTCTTCTGAAGATGAAGGACATTTTCCTTCTTAATTACTTCCTCCTTTTGGAACAAAACAATGCCAGTGATGAGTGAAAATGAGCAGTGTTTTGTTACAGTAGGATAGTTCGCTTTAGGCTATTTTGTATACCCTTCCTAAGCTTATTCTCTCTGCCTGCTATAACAAGAGGCTGCTTCAGAGATGTAGGTCCCAATCTTGTTCCAATGGAAGAATGTTGATTTCTGTGGACACAGAAATGAATCCCTAGTTTATGTAGTAACTGGGGGGACAAAGATGGCACCTAAAAGGCATACTTAATAGCCCTGAACCACAGAACAATCAATAGAATAGCTATTGATGTTCAATTACAACATCCGTGGTCCAAGTTCATAGCAAAATAGTTGAGTTGCCTAAGTTGTCTAAACAGTTATTCTTTTTTTTCTTTGTGCTCCTTTCTTGGAGATGGATTAGTAACAGAGTACCCTAGCTCACAGCCTGTCATGAGAAATAACCAGTGGGCCTGTGATCCTCTTGGTCTGCCTTTACCATCACAATACAGATTTGGAGGGGAGCAGAGGAGGGGAGCGTTTATGACAACTTTTGACCGAAATCTCTTATCAACCTGACAAAAAGCTAACAAAGGCTCAAAACCCTAACATCATCAAAAACAAAGCCTTTAAAAAGGTCCACCCATCAAGATGAAAAGGAAAGAAACGCAATATGTAGAGAGTGGCTGGTCAACAGTAAAGGTATTCGGCATATTTTGATTTTCATAGAAAAATAAGATAAACAATCGCATCAATTTCCATTCAAGAGCAGGAAAATATATAGAAGGCACTATAAGCTTCTGAAGCATATCGGGGTCAAAGCTTTAGCAAGCACTATTTTACTCTGAGCCCTGTTGCCCTTATGCCTGGCTGAGCAAGCTTTTCCATTCTGTAATGACACCATTTCTTATCTGCTACTAGTGGAATTTTCAAGACAGGAAGATGAAATAGCTTTTTCTGGTCTCCTTTTAAAACTCTGCCATGACACTGACTAGAAATGTAGCCCCAAATCAATCCCTTATTTTTGTGTAACACACACATCCAAATCTATCCTTATTTTGGAAAGCCATTCTGGGTGATGACAGCATCTTATATTTATCCCTGTTGAAAATGAGAAGTTTCATGTGCGCCTTAGCTGTAAAAAAATGAGTGCCCACTCTTCTGTGACCATTA